TTTTCATAGTATTTTGTATATATATTTCTATTCTTTAATAATGTGTGCCCATTCTAGACTATAAAGTTATTATTTATGTTACAATTTAGTTTTGTTTAGCCTAACAGTTATTTTGTTTAATATCATTTGCCAAATTTAATTTTTTATTTTTTAAACTACATGCATGATTCAGTGACTACGATGTTTTTGTTTGTAGATTAGTACATTAATTTTCCAATTATCCTTGTTATGTATTATTTTTGCACATTATCCCTTAAGTTGCAATATTTGTTAAATTTTACTTCTTGTTTCACTAGTTATGCATATATTTCCAGCTCCATCATACATTCTTCAAAATTTTGCCACCATTTTTAGTTCTTTTTATCACGATTTTGCCTTTTATTATCAGTGTTTTAATTTTTATCTTCTGAGCTTTGGTGCATCTCAAAAACTGGCTTATTTAGAGTATCGCTCTGATTTTTTATTTTCTTAGCTCCGTTTCTCTTCATTCTCTATTTATTTTAGAGTTTTGCTCGATTTCTCTTTATTGTTTGTGATCTGTTCCTTATTTATTAACATATGTTTTTTGAAAATAATTTGGTCACTGTGTTTATATACATGCCTTCCCAAATTTGGTTAAATTTCTCATAATTTTGCCAGATTTCTGTATATTTCCTTAGTTGTTGATGTTGTAGCAGCATAAAAATTCCTGAAATAATTTTGAGTGTTGCTACTGGGTTGTTGTTGCTTGGCCGGATGTATATTTGGTTCCGGTTACATAGATTTTGTTTCTGGGAACGCTCCTGTTTAGGGTAGTTTACTTTGTTTTGACATTGATATAATTTAATGTATTTGTTTCCTTATTTATTATTTACATTCTCTGGTCTGCAATTTTCGGCTTCAATTTCAACTTTTTTGGTTAGATATATCTGTTCCAATACACCTATTTTCCAATTATTTCCCTTTTAAGCCGCGTGCATTATGTGTTCCACTTCTAGCCACAGACGGCTGTTTCTTTTAAAGTACACTCTTTCATATACATTAATTATATTTTGCCCTCTTTATATTAAAATTATTATTTTATTTTGTTTCTTATTCAGCTTTCTTCCACTTAGCGTCTTTTACTTTCTAACTATTTCTTGTTTTCTTAATTTTTATTACATTCTTTGGTATGCGCATTTCGATCTCTTTCATTGTCTACTATATCTTTATATTTGTCTTCATTTCCCATACATTTTTCCACAATTTTATGGTGCGATATTTTGATCTGTTGTTTCGTAAATTTTCCATTTTCTAGCTAAAAGTTTGTTATATTTCGTATATTCAACTCCTTTGGTATGTTTTCTTCTACAAGTAACTGCGCTTGGTTTTTTGGTAATCTATGGCAAAGTTTTAAAGCTTTTTCATGCATATAAAAATGTTACTTTTATCGCTTTTATTATTTAATACGGTCTTAATGCTTGCTCTTTTTTTATTTTTTTTTTACAAATTAATTTTATTTATTTGTTTATTTGTAGTCATATGTCAAGTTATTATATTTTAAGTAAACACTTGGTTCACATTCTTTTTCCATTAAGCTTTTACACTCCTCCCGAGCGTTCACAATTTTGCATTAACATTTCGTTATGTTCTAGATAAGTTACAAGTTTTCTTGGCAATAAATTTATTAAAATGAAGTACTTTTATGTTTTTGTATGTTTTATTACAATGAAATTCGATTTTTTTATATTTTAACAAAGTTATTCAATAAAGTTATTTCTATTTTTACTTTTACTTTTTTCTTAAAGACTTTATGCCATTAGAAAATTATTTATTTTTCGCCAACTATTTTCATAGCTAGTATCTACTCATAAAATTTATTTTGCAGTTTTATTTTTAGCTTTGAAATTTTCATTCGTCTTTAGTTGAGTATTTTACAATTTATACTTTTGAGTGTAGTAAAGTTTTAAAAGAACAGCGTTAAAGAGTTAAAGCTAAATTGCAAGCGCTTTCTTAAAGCATTTTCTAGAGCGTCAAAATTTAAGTCGTTACTCAGTTACATTATTGTTTCATTAGAAAAAGTATTGAAGAAGTGATAACTTAAAAAATTCAAATTAATTGTTTAAAAAACGGAAATTATGTTTTATAAATAAAATTAAAAATGTGGATATATATATTTTCTTATTTTAAATATTAATTGAAATATATTTTAAAATGATTTGAAAGCTATAGTGAAAATCAAAGCTCTGGAGCTATGCTTCTTATTTCTTTGAATAAATCAGTTTATTAAGCTTTTGGTCATTATTTAAAAAAGAGTTTTGTTTTAGTTTTCGGAAATTTGTATGTAGGTGAAAGCTCCCTAACTGTTTTTAATTAACTTGGTCCAGTCAAAAAGCTTTCAGGTAATGTTTCAATGTTATTGCTTTAGTGCCGAAAGGTCTTCTGAAGGTGAAAGCTCTTTAGTTGGTTTTTCTTATTTCTTTTGAATAAAATCTTTCTCGCTTAATAAAGCTTTCACATAATATTTTCCAGTTAAGTAATAATTTTTGTTTTCACTTTCGAAGACTCTTGTGAAGGTGAAAGCTCGGCAACTATTTTAATTAATTTGGATTAAAGCTTTCTCGGTTAACAAGCCTTCAGGTAATATTTCAGTGTTAATTTGGTTTTTATGCTCGAAAGCTCTTATGCAGATGAAAGCTCTATAACTGAGTTTAACTGAACAACAGCTTTTCATGTTGGAACTGCTATTCCTAGTACTTTTGAACTGAAAGCTGCTAACTATAGCTTTCATCATGAACATTTCAATACAGCTATTTGCAATTACATATGTATGTGTATAGTATCTGTTGTCAGCTGTAGCTATTGTATTTTTTTACTTTAAACATTGTGTGTATTACATTCATATTCGTATGTCTATGTTTATGTCTTTTTATGAATATCAATTAAGTGGGCGGATTTATTACATATCGTGGAACTTAAGTGATTGATAATGCTCTTAAAATTAGCTAACTTAATGTAATGAAAACTGAAGCTTACAAGAAATAAATAAATATTTTATGTAAACTCCATATTATTTTATCAATTATTGTGGTATTCTATTTGTTGCTGATATTGTCCGGTTTTAGTATAATTTTTTGATGTAACCTGTAAAATAAACCAATTATATGTTGAATGCCACACCCGAGTCATTAACCCAAATATTAAGCAATATAGGTCGCTTTTGAGTACGAAACTCCAAGAGTAACTGCATCTTGTTTTGATCTATCCAACTTCATCGTGGTCCATTTTGCCTGCAAATTAAACCCTATGATTATGATTTTGTGGGTTTATATCTAGCAACATTATATTCTGTAGTGGTTAGGTACATGTTTTATAAAACTGTCTACGTGAATAAAAATATTATTCGTGAGCATTTTTGAATTCTATTAAAACATTAAATCACAGTACTGAATTAAACAAAGGAAACTAACCATAACTTAAAGCAACTAATTTAAAGACATTCAGTTAAAGAGTGTATTCATTAACATATATTTTCTTCAGAAATTTTATGTGACAGCCGTCATATTTAAATAGCTTTTATTTAAGGAAAAAATTGCTTAAAGTCACACACCATACAAACTATCTCCTTTTGTGAAAGCTTTAGTGATTTTAAAGTCTTTAAAATGCTTTGCATAAAGTAAAAGTTTTTTGTACAGCTCTCTGTGATGTATGTATATGCGAAAAACAACTCCTTTTGTGAAGCGTGCGTGTTTTTAAAAACTTCAAAAAGCTCCTTTTTTTTTAAGCTTTTTCCGTGAAAGCTTAAGTGACGCTAAAAAGTTTCGCATAAAGTATAAGCTACATAACAGTCTTAAGCTGAGTATATATTCTTATGAGAACTTAGAAAATATGTCTTAAACTCGAAGCCTTCAATCATATCTGGCTTAATTAACGCAATCATTAAAAGTGAAATGAGATAACAGACTGAAAAAGTTGCGAATTTTTCTAATAATAGCATTTTTTCATCAATATATAATTAATTTTTAAACTACTTCTTCATAGAGTTTCGTGACTTTAGGCGTTTTTGTTCGAGACACAGATTTAATATTAAAAAAAATGGGTTTTAACATTTTTTAAAGGCCCGCTTGAGCTTATTCTAATATTTCTTGTATCAAGGCCGTAGCTGTAGAAATTAGAATTAAAATAATTTTTTGGCTAATTAAATACCTAACCTTTTCTAGCAAAAATGTTACAAACACATATCTCCACAAAATACAGTATATACAAAAATGAAATGTTAAATTAAAATTAATGTAAAAATTTAAGAATTGAATTTTGTTCGCACAGACTTTTTGTCATTTCGCTACACAGTAATTTAACAGGCTGATAAGATGAAAAACAGCTATAGAGTAAAAAAATATTTGAAATTAAATTAAAAATGTTTAAAACAAAACTAAAAATAAAGTATAAAATGATGAAACAAAATAACAAACACCAAGTAAAACATAAAAATATTAACAATAACAATTATTAAAAGTAATGATATATGAAATTTTCGTAAACATTTTTGTTTAACCGTTAAATAGTTGTATATATACTACTACTTAAAACTTTTATAACAAATTATGGCAACAGTGTTCAAAATTGATTAAATTTTATTCTTTAGAAACCTACATGACTTTTGTTTGCAGAAAATTTAAATATTATTCTTAAAATTGTTTTATTTTTTTAATTATTTTAGTTTGAGGAACATCGGCATTGTTTAGCAATAATATAAATATACTAGATTAGACTATTTTAAATTACTCAGTTTACCATATTTCAACTTAGTTGATGTTGTATGAAAATTGTAAACCAAGTTTTAGGAAAATTACGCAAGAACATTTGTGTACTCAGTTATTTCTGTCATTAAATGCTTGAAGAATATGTTTGCATTTTTTTTATTTGTACACAGAAGTTTGGAATTTAAGTATACATATACTTTTTTCGTTTATCAAAGAGTGACGAAAACTCAAATAATAATTGCAAACATATTTTTCAAACAAAAAATAATCATTTCCGTGTACACCTTTGGTGATATTTTTCAACATTCATCTTTCAACAGTGTGTGTAGTAAGTCTGTACACATTTGTTTCATAAAATTTTCAGAGCAAATTTAACCAGCTCAAAATTTATTTGCACATTAATTCCAGCTTCAGAAGCAACTTCCGTTTGCCGCTCATTCCGCGCCACAGCTCATATGTATGTAGCAACACATGTATCATTAGCTGTGACGAAGTTGCAAGTGTATGTAAAACTCCATAAACTGCTCCACGCCTGCGGATTTGTGCTCATGGCACATGCAATTAACGCTGCAGCTATGTAAACGTATTATTCAATGATTAAGCAACGTGGCAAATGCTCTTTCAAGTAATCGAACAACTCATGTGATGCTCCAGGACAATTGGTCAGCTCGAGTTCTTGCAAATGACGCAGCTGTATTAGACTGGATAGGCCGGAGGAGGTGAGCAATGGACAGCCGGCTAGTGAAAGTACTTGTAGATTACGCATGGAGCATAAGTGTTGTAGTCCGAAGTCACGCACTTGTGAACACCAGCGTAGAAAGAGTGCGGTTAATGACAGCATGGTCGAGATGTAGCCGACACCGATGTCGGTGATGTGTACGCATCTGAAAAGATGGAAGGAGGCAAAAAAAGTGATTTTTTCATTAATGTTTGAGAAAGAAATTGTATAGAGGTTGGTTTATCTAAGCTTGCGGCGACTGTCTCATGTTTGAGGTATGCGGTGTGTTTTATAAGAGTTAGGTCAAAGTTATATCGTAGTTGGACTCGTAGTAGGCCGAATTCGAACATATGAAATATCATCTCATATTCAAGTCAATCGGTCAAAACTGAACCGGAAGCACAAGACTTCGGTTATAAAAGTTTTTATTAAATATTAATTAAATATTGAAGGCAAGGGAATGTTATTGGAAACAACTCGAAAGGGTTCTGAATATCTGCAGCTTTTGGCACTCATTTAACTGTTCAAATTAGATGTCACTTTAGGATTTGCAAAAATGATCCTTTCGTAAGTTGATGACGTTTTGAGCTTGACTAAAAATGTTATCCATTGCAAAATTTAGCTTGACAATTTTTGTTTGGATTCTTCGAAGCTAACAATTCGAACGACCCAGTGGATGTCCAAAAAAGGTTTTTACACAAGAAGTCAACCAAAAACACCCAAATTGTTTTTGGATCCTCCTCTTTGGAGTTGATTGCGATAAATGATATACTAAAGAGATCGAAAGAAGGCTTTGGACAAATCTGTAATTAATATTTTGGTAGGCGAACGTTTTGTACTGCGAGAGCTCTGTTATTCAGAATTTTTTTTCTATTTTTAGACTTAAATATATTTAGTCCGAATAAAGTCGAGTTATTAAACGAGAGTATAGACAATTCCGTAGTAGATGTTTTTCCAAAAATAATGCTGTTTCATTTCTTGATATACTGATAATAAATTTTTATGTTTTTTAAACTTACCTGTCCAACGTCAGTTCTTCTAGCTGATTCAGATCACAGGCAATATACTCCAGCGATGCGTCCGTTATGCGCGGACACCAAGACAAATCGAGGGCACGTAACTTCTGCAGATTTTCGGCTATCAGTTCGACGCCGTCATCGGTGAGTTTACTGCAACCGGATAGACTCAATACCGTTAAGTGAGGCAAAGAGTGCACTGCAACGAGAGAGAAAGAAAGCGTAAAAAATTAGCAGTAGGAAAAAATATTAAAATAATATATAAATATACATATATGGCTACACATACACCTATGCAGTCTTGAAAATTGTATGGAAAATTTCAATACGCGAGTGATGAGTCATTGGCAGCATGAATGAACGAGAAATTCGTTGCGCAGCAACACGCGACAAAAGGACGAAAAGTTTACTACGTTGAATGCTAAGGACCCAAAGCTCGATTGCATGAAAGGAAAGTGTGTATGTACGTATGGGGTTGTATATCTATGTATGTACATGTGTGTGTACTTCAATGCACTCATATTTTATTTCATACAGTCGCAGTTTGTTGCTCTGCGACAGCTGAACCACACCAAAGTAATGTTGCAGCAGTCACGTCAACGCGTTACATGCATTGCAGCTATTTTCGCAGAATAGTGTTGTGAGACGAAAAAAAATGTGTATATGTATGTATATTATATTTGTATGAATGAATAAATGAATGGTAAATAATGCAAAATAAATGCAGACGACATACTTTTTTGCGGTCGCACTGACGATACAGCCAATGGGTGGCACGATGGACAGAGCAGTACTTGGTAGTCACTGCGATTTTTCTATACATAAACATACTCACGCACACACTTTCAAACAGTAAGAAAATGTCACGTTTGAGTGTTGTTAGTGTGTGGAGGGTCTGTCAGCGTGGCAGACGGCTGACCACTCGTGGAGACAAAGCGAATTTGTCTAGCTAGATGAAACCGCACGAGTGCGCTCGTCTCATATTGGTGTTACTCAAGTAATTTATTCATGAGTTATCTGCACTTCGTGTGCTTTACGGCTTGATGGCGATTTATCTTCAGATATCACATATTTAAATTTTTGGAGAAATTATATGAAGTTAATTTTTCATTTGGACATTAATCTTACTGCAGAGCGACGGGATTACAAAGTCACTTTTGTTGATAAATGTTTTTGTGGGAATTTGTGGCTAGTCTTTTGCAATTTTTCCTGATTGATATTAGAAATGTGATTCTACGGAAAGAGTTAAGATTCTCTCAGTATTTTCGATGTAGAAGTGCTACTTTCGGAGATCCGCTTACACAGCTTGAAGAGCCTGTATCCAATTATGTGACGTCTCAGCGACTTAATTCACAAACAGTCCCCAAAGACCTATGTAGGTGAATGGGCAGACATCCCTCCCTACCTAGTCTACTTAAACTCTGAGTTTAAATTTTAAATCTCATTTAAAATCCTAAAGTTCGGCTTGAACATAGCTGTAAGTAAAACTTAAGAAAGAGCTTTAGATATCTTTTTTTTTCTAACAGCGTTTATTCCTTCGAAATGTCATGAGAAACCTCAGGCTATCTCATTACTGCGTCTACAGACAGCTACGTAATCTAAAAGCAGGTGCCCCGGAGTTTCAAGCTCCATCTCAAGGTATTGAAAAATTGCTCCTTAGTGATAAGACGTTCAAGCCTTTTTTGCGGCTTGATTTGCTCTCGTAGGTCAAAGCTCCAACCACGCATAGAAGAAAAAGCTTGACCACTAACATTTAAGAGAGGAAAAACTTCATAAAATAATGTTCAGTGTTTTTTAGAATATGTGACCTGGTTTACGGAAAGGAGGCTCAGGTGTCAAAAAATTCAAAAAATCAATTTTCACTTTTTAGTTAATTCGGATGGAAGATGAGATTTTTAACAGCTATTTCCCAGAAAATTAGTTTTCGCACGTTAGCTCCCTTTTCGTAGACCAGGTCACATATATTGACTTTTCACCCTCTCTATTTCTGCAGCATACATAGAGTGACGGACAAAATATATTGGACTCATATCAACGAATTACAGTATCATCTCATATTCTCGCAATTATCATTTTATATATAAACAAATTACTCAAATTTGAAGAATAACTATTTATTTTATAAAAACATACAAAATCGTAGAAATTATTTGATTCCTTGCCATTTTATACGAAAAAATTAAACATATTCAATATTCAGTGCGACAAAACAGATTGGAATAATGATTGTTGTTTAATATTGTATAGCATAACCTTACTTTTTTATTACTTCACTGCATCTATTTGGTATAGAAGCTATAATATTGTTAATAAATACTTGTGGAATGCTTAACCAGGCTTTGTTTCAGTTTCGAACAATTTGTTTTTATCTCCATTCACTCTTTCTCTGTCTATCCTTCTATTTGTTATATACCAAAGATACTCCAAAAGATTGAGATCCGGCGATTGAGCTTGTCACTTTGGGACATTCATATTATGAGCTATGAACCGATTTGGCATTGATTTCAATGTGTGTTTTGGGACCTATCGTGTTGAAACGACCATGAAAATGGCATATTCCAGTCGGCATGGGGAAGTATCACGTACTTCAAGGATATCCTGGTATATCAATCGATCCATATTGCAATTGATTCGATCAAGATGTTCAACACCAAACCCAGAAAAACATCTTCATACCATAATGTCACCTCTAAGATGCTTAACCGAGCATTGGCAGTATTGGGAATCTGACCTCTTATTTTGGGTTTTCGAACTCTTCTCATTCCGTCTGAATTTTTCAAATTAAATTTTGATTCATCAGAGAAAAGTACTGTTTTCCATTGTTTCACTGATCTGTTGATGTGTTCCCGAGGAAATTGTAATCATCTTAGTCGATTTTTTCTTGATATAAAGGGCTTTCTCCCTGGCCCATAACTTGTTAGCCCAACTGCACATGCTCTTATTTGTATAGTACTGCTTGAACTTTAAAATTTAAAGCTTTAACCCCGTAGAAACGTTTATTTTTATTAAAAAAAAAAATTATGTGGTTTTTCATTGTTTCCCTAAATAAACAATATGCCGTTATAATTAAGTATTTTTTGATATCCAAAATTGTAATTTGGAGTATACCACATGTTTTTTAGCATTCATAGCCATCAGTCCAATATGTTTTGTCCGACACTGTACATATGTAGTTATTCGTATATTAAAACAAAACATTAATTTCGGCTGCTATAGTAATCCGATCTGAACAATTTTTTCGGTGATTATATTAACTTAAGAAGTAATCCATGTCAAATTTCGTGAAGATACCACATCAAGTGTGAAAGATTTTCATACAAGTCCTTGATTCCGATCGTTCGGTTTGTATGGCAGCTATATGCTATAATGAGCTGATATGAACAATTTGTTCCGATAGTACATTATTTCAAATGCAAAAGTGTTCCATACCAGCACTAGATCGAGCAGCTATATTCTGATCTGAACAATTTCTTCGTATATTACATTATTATCTTAGATAATAAAATGTGCCAACTTATGTCAAGATAGATTGCCAGATGTGAAAGTTTTCCATACAAGCTTTCCTCAACATACTGATAATTTATATGTATATGTACATACTTTATATATAGGGTCTCCGACGCTTCCTTCTGGTTGTTACAAACTTCGTGGCAAACTTAATATATCCTGTTCAGGGTATAATAAGGCTTCTAACTTGTTTTCGTAGACTGTGTTGATATCTTTTATGAGAAATCTTTTTATATATCCATTAGCTTTTCTGAGCCGACCCAAATATTGTAGATACCTGCATTTGAGAGTTTAAGTCATCCATTTCGAATAAACTGCTGCAGATAATAGAAATCTGTATATATTTTCATCCAGAATATTTGATAYTCAAATCTATTCATCATCATCATTTGTGCGTTCTAATTTATCTCTTTTGTGTTTTATTTGCTTTCGGTCTCATTTACTGCTGCTTCTCATTTTTTATATCAAGTTGCAGGGTAATGTGTTGTTCAAAAATGGGGTCAAGTTGCGCTGGTAGAAACGTTTATTTGTATGTACATATAAATATATGGGTCTGCTGATTTTGATAATAGTTCTTTAACTATTTTTTTTAATAATTAGCTATGATACTACGTAGTTAAAAAGTGTGTTTACTTTACCATACACTCACTAATTGACCTATGAAGATCATACTTCAAAAGTGCATGAAACGGCTGTACGAACCTAGAAAAAAAATTTTTTCGCTTGAACCAGTCCGGGTCAAACTTGATATTGAGTGTATATTGCAATGTTAGAGGAGTACTTATTCCAGATGTGGTAGCTATCTCTGTCTTACGCTGTCTTTAGCTGCAGCGATGCTGTTCTTCCGGGTGTTTGCTTTACGGCACTGCTTATGTATCGTTACAGATGTTTTGTCCTTCAAATATTCATCGAACCCATCACCCCTTTCAGTTCTTGAATCCATTAAAGTCTTTAGCCAACGATCAACGATCAACAATCACAATTTCACTTTCAGTCAAAGATTTATTGCAAATAAAGCACACTTCTGAAATTTTTACAAAATTTTGGAGCGGCACGGTTAAAAAAGAGAATATAATTCACAAACACCATTCACTACGAAAAACCGTTCAAAACTGACTGCATATACTAAAACTATGTTCTTCGGAAAATCAGGTATATGTCGACACGAAAAATGGAGAGTCGCTTGCAGATGTTTTTCAAGGCCAACAGAATTGTACATTTATTTTTCTCGTACCTGTATGCATGGAGCAAATAAAACTATGTTCTAATGTTTTTTGTTCAAATGGTTAACCCCATGATACATACTGGCCACATATGAGTGCATATTCGAATTTTCTATGCTTAAAATAGCCATAATTCGAGAACAATGCACCAATGTTGAGATCTTTGCTTTTATTTGAACCATTTTTCGCTAGCTCTCATTGTTTCAGAAATATACGCAAAAAAATTTGTGATCTTTGATCTCGAATAGAAAACAACGCACAAGCGTGATCATTGGGATGACTGGACTATGAAGCGGATGTATAGTGATGGTAAAAGGGATTAATGAACAAGAAAGTTTTGCTATCTGTTTGGTGGGATGTGCAGTGAATCGGAAATGCACTGTCAAAAACATGAATGAAACAAGCGCGCAGAAGCGGCCAGCTTTGACTAATAGGAGAAGTATCTTTTGGACAACGTCAGGCCATACAC